AATATAATGTAGAACCAGGGATTCCTATGCATGAAAGAAATTCTTAAAGCCTATGAGGCTAGCGGATTGGTGGATCATAGAAAGGAGATCTCAGAATATGGAAAATGAATACAGCAAAATGCTTTATGGAAAAAAGCTGTGGTGAGTGAACATATTATAATGATCACTATTGAAATTTATTACTTACCAAAAATTTTCATCTTATTTTCTAGTGGAACTTCTAAAAACATTTACAAGCCATCATTTATATGACAGAAAATGAAAAATTAGCATATGCATTTCAGAAACTAGTCTATAATAGTATCACTGCTAGCATCTACTCCATAAAACAACATGATTACATTTATATTGCAAGGAAGATTTATAGTCATCAAGAAATACACTTTTCTATTGCCATTTGACATGTAGCTATTCTACAAGGTAGTAACACAAACGATGCTGATTCATGTCGTCCTGCTTTCTACAAAAAAGATATAAAAATATCTTCATTTAAACATACCTTAATTATTTCTTCAATGAAACAAATGTGAGAGACAGGATCTCTCTTTTTGGCTAATACTTTTTGCAGATGTTGTACCTAAAATAAAACAAATATAAAGCTTAGGCACTTGGAAAAGCAAGGGAAGGGAAATGGCATTATGCGAGAGCCCTTACCCACATTATAATAAGCTAACAGATGTATTCTGAATGCTCAGAGATGTTAAAGACCTTCCCAAGGTCATACAATTTGGAATAACCAGGAGTTAATCCACAATTAATGTTCTTTGCACTCCTTAAAACATTTACCTGTCCACAAACAGAACAAATAAGATCCATAAGTTTCTCCATATTGGTCCAGAGGGAAGCACGAAATGCTGCAGTATTTCCTGGCGTTGGCATGGTAGATCGTCCAGGACCCCCTGGTTATGAGAGACAAAGACATATGAAAAATAAAATTTGCCAAATATCACAAAATGTATGTTATTTTGAAAAGCATACAAAAGCTAAAAATGAGAAGTTCCTTCTTTAAGAAATAATTTCTTATGAGTGATATAAAAAAGAATTTTAACGTTTTGTGTTTAAGGAAGAAAGGGAAACCACACACATATATACCCCAATACCAGTAAGGTTAAAATAGAAATTGATGAAAACGGTTTCCCACGAGGGGTGTGAGGGTAGTGGGAAATGAAAGAAGGTGAAAGGTATAGGGATAGAAGTGAGTTTGGCTGTTTCCCACCATCCTCACACTCTTTGCAGGAAACCATTTTCATCAATTTCCATTTTACCCTTCCTGGGTGTGGGAGGATTGTGTATATGTTTATGTGTTATTGCCCATTCTTTCTGAAAACAAAACAAACCCTAAAACTGAACACAAACAAATACAGAAACAAATGGATTCACTGTACATCAAACTGATAATAAAACCACACAGGAGGAAAATAATTCAAGGGATTTTTAATCACAGAATCCTGATTTTAGTAAGATATATTTTATGGACAAAAAGAATTACAAAGAAATATTGAACTTTACTTAATAGACTTGTTGCTGAATGTGGTATTGATGTAGTAATCCTGTAACTAGGTATATTTTATAGTACAGCAAATGAAGGTTCTTACTGTAAACAGAATAAAGATACAGATATGTAATGAGGATTAGAGGTATCTCCCAACTCAGTCCACTGAAAGGGCAGAGAGACAATGACTCCTCAATAGTAATAAGCATATTTAGTATCCAAATGTTGATTTCTAAGCACCATTCCCCAATAAAAACAAACAAACCAGGACTCAAGGGAGAAAAAAGTGATTCCATATCTGGAGCAGTGAAAATGCAAGGTGAATCTTTACATACTGTGCCAATGAGCAAAGAAGCGTTCAAGGACAAAAAGGAGATTTTTCAAAAACAAATGAAGATCTGTCAAATTTGATTTGACTGGAGGGGGCTTCCACAAAACAAATTTGGGGAAATTTGGCCATTCAAAATAATACTGATGGTGATGAATTATAAAACAGTGATTAAAAAAATAATGTATGAGTTCATAGAGAAACTCAAAATGTTTAAAAAGGATGGGAACTGCTCTCTACAAAAGAATGCCAGTTACTAAATGCAGAAAGAATGACAGGATTAGGAAAAAAAACAAATCACCATTTTGCAACTACTAGTGCCATAGTGAAGGAAAGATTATCAATGAAAACCAAAATACTAGGTGAAATGTTGTGGGAACAAGATATTCACATGGTCTCAAAGTGTGCACCGAAAATTATTAATTACAAAAAAAAGAGAGTACTTTTACAAGGGCAGTCTACCATATACCACTTTAACGAAGTGATCTCATTTAGCATCAGCCACAATAGGACAAACTGACTTATGTCGTTTCCTGATATGATGTAATGGGAAATATACAACATCAGCTTAATGCCAGTATCTCTTAATATCTTGAATCTCATCTTGAAGAAACAATCAGATAAATCCAGACAAATTCAGATTATGGGGTTCTCCAAACATGTTAATGCCATTAAAAAAAAAAAGGTATGGGGCTGTTTTTGATTAAAGGAGAATAAAAAGACAAGATAACCAACAGAAAAGCATGATCCCTGATTGGTTCTGGTTGGGGGGGAAAACAGCTATAAAGAACATCTTCGAGAACAACTGAAAAATTTTGAATTGAATTGCAGATTAAATAATTTTAATGTGTCAATGCTAAATTTCTTGAGAGTGAGAATGTCTACGAATGTTCTTATAAGTAACACACAGGAAGCTATTTGTACAGGTTTAAAATGTTCCAACATAAAAAAAGAAACTGTAATCCCAAATTGAAAGGTATAAATTCCAGTCCAAACTAGGTTAAAAACCAGGCAGTAGAAGAGCTCATCCGTGGTATGTCTATGTCTCTGCTGTTAAAGAAGACAAGATCAAGAAAACCAGAGTTTTTTCTGTGTGTGTAAACTACCTCACTCTAGTTTTTCAACAATTCTAAGTTTAGAAAAGAATTACATATACCTTTACCAAATAGATGCTATTTTGGTTTTGTCTGCTAATAGTGGAAAGCAATAAAAGAGGGGAATCTAGGAGAAAGATATTGGCTTTAAATATGAATAATTCCTATTTGAAATCAGGATCCAATTAATTTTTTAAATTATTTGCAGTGTTGTGCAAAGACTATTAAGGAAAAACATACAGGGAATAGAGAGATAATATTGTAAATCTGTGGTTGTCTCATATGTTATATAAATAATAAACTAATAGCAGTGAAGAAAGGGTATATAGTGTCTTTATGAAAAATAGAAAATATTAATCAAAATCCTGGAATGTGTATGGCTTTGTTTTATTATAAATAATTATGGGACTCATTAAACTATGACTTTCTCTTAAAGTAAATACAAGCAGAAATACAAAGTATTATTATCTGTTTGTAATTACTTTGGAGAAACTGAGACATAGAGAGAGGAGATCACAATCATTGGTTCAACTAGTTTTAGAACACTGATTTTTCTTTCTTACAGTACTTAAAGACTTTTATCCTCACAAACAAAATATATATTGTTGAAGCTATAAAAAACAACATAGAAATAATTAACTGACTAAACACAGAACTGCTGTATAAAAGAAGGGGAGAGGAATAATTAAAACATAAAAACAGATGCAATTATCAGTTAGCTTTAATAGACTCAAGAAACAAAATAAATAGTATCATAAACTAAGTTTTATTGAAGTGATAAACTAGGAACTCCTCAAAGAAATAATACTTGAAAGTGATTTCTAGTTAATGATTGGTAGAGTAAAATAAATTTCCTTTTCTTTTCCCTTGAAAGCCAATGAAAATAAAAACAAAGGGTAGAGAAAAACGTCAACTTCAAAGAAACAAGGAATCAGATAAAACTTCAAACTTAAGATTATAAAGCATGCATGCCAAATGTGGTAGATAAATCAAAATGAAGAAGGAACCAGATAGCTGATACCTTAGATCATTAGCAAGAAACAAATTGCTCTTAAAATCAATTGTGAGAATTTGGACATGCCCTCCAATGATTCTTTGATTAGAGCTGAGATCTACAGACCTGGATGGGTCAGGGAATGTTCAACAGTGCAGAATGACAAAGAAAGAAAATCTGAAGGAGAAACCATAATGAAATGATATTTACATTAAGAATTAGCCCTGGAGCTTGGGGTAACTCTTGGGGGAAAAGTGAGATAAAAGAGGAAGAAAAAGCTGATAATGCTAGGATTCAACATAGAAATGGCGTAAACAGGTTTACTGGGAGTCACACTAAGTTCCTGAATGGTTCAAAATTTGAGGAGAGATGCGCTCAGAAGGTAAAAGGAAATAACAAACTGGTGAATGGTTTTTCTAGACAACAAACCGAAATTAAACTGTAGACTGCCCAGGTCTCTCTCCATAATCATTCTCACACTATTCTATAACGAATAGCCAGTACCTTTTAACAATGATTAATAATCAGAACCAAAGCAAGGTTGGACTTAATGTAGATACTGGAGAAGGGGTAGGAAAGAGGAAGAAAGGAATATAAGCTAAAAGCAATGATAAACATACGTTGCCAAATAAACGACAGGTTACTCAGTTTTCCACTGTCTCAAAGTAATTATTGGAAACATCTTCAGGAGAAAAATTTACAGACATTTAGACCATATGAGAGACAACAAAACATTATAATGAACTAGGGTGAAAACACAGTAAAACAGGGGAAATAGGCAAGAAGAAATCATACAAGATAAAGTACAAAGATATAAAAATAATCATGGAGAAGAGTGACTTCCAGTTCCAAAACGACAGCATAGACGCAAGCTGGCTTCACTTCCTCCCCATAGGAAACCAAAAGCAAATATACATCTCCAAGATTATCACCAGCAATATTCCAGAACTCAAATATGAGGATGAGACAATTCCCAGGGCCACAGAAAAGTAAAAATAGCCCTGAGCAGACAGTAAAAAAATCAGACTTCCACATCAGTGACACTCCTACCCCCATTCTGCCTGGCACCAAGCTCAGGAAGATACTAGACATGGAAAACAAAGACGATCTGACATATGCAAAAGTTCCTGAAAAGAACAAATGGAACAGAAAAATATTCAATATACAACGGAGGAAAACTTTTCTATAAAAAAGGGAACATACTCTAATTCAGGAAAAAAAAAAAAATGATACAGAGCATTCAGCCCTGAGATATATCCTAAAGAAGTCACTAAACTTCAAAGATAAAGAAAGAACCATTTGGATGGCCAAGAAAAAGTAAATTAGCTATGTGGGGGATGAAAATCTGATTAGCCTCAGACTTCTCTAAAATAACACTAAAACCCAGCAGTCAGTAGTGCGATGTCTGATATTGAATGGGACCCTCCATTTCCGTAGCCTCATCTTCCATACGGAGGGACTTCAGCTAAAGTAACACTTTTGCCTTCTTTCTCTACCTCTTACTTAACCCTCCTCATCTAAAGAGGAGCAAATTATCTGACTAGTGAATTTGAATAAGAAACTGAGCATAATTGACTCAGTCCCTTCCTTTCCCTCTAGTTGAAGTTTTATATGTATAAAATGTGCGTTCTGACTTGCACTCCACCAATAGTTAAACATAGTGGGGCAGGATGAATTGGGAACTTTAATTCTGAGATTATAGAAAACTCATTTGGTTATAGATCTAACCTATGCCCTTCAGTCTAATTTTCTTTTATCAGTAATAAACATTTTAATTAACATCTTTTTGTCTCCCACATCTGTGTCTCAACTGTTTTCAAATTCAGTGGGGAAGAGAAATGTTACTTACTGGGCAAACTAGCCAAATTCTAAGGAAAAGAAAGTATAAATAAGAATTTATATCTGGCCAAATTATTCAAGGATAAAGGCAAAAGACACCATCAACTATGCAAGAACTCAGAGAGCACAATACCCATGAAACATTTTCGAAAAATCAATTGTATTATGACACTCCAGCAAGGGAGGGATGAATATAGAAATAGAGAGGTCATATTAAAAGGGCTAGAGATGAGAATCAAATCATTTAAAAATAAAAGGAAGAAAATATAAAAAACACTGATCATTCAAAACAGTATAACTAACAATAAGCAAATGAGGGCAGGAAAAGTAGGGAGAAGTTTAATTGCGCCTATTTCCAACCTTTAGGAGTAGAGAGCCAAAACTGTCTAAAATTGAAATGTAAAGAATGACTTTAATTTCTTAATGCTTTTTGTAATCTTTTATTCATTATTTTTAAATTTACCTTTTATGATCTAATATTTCTTGTGAAGATGTATTAATTTGAAATTCATTAAGCCCTTCAATTTCACATAAATTTCCAAATATTCTGTTTGACTAAAGTAAAACACTTTTTATTTTAAAAAGTATACATCTAAAACAGGCAAGGCCAAATTGTAGTGCTTAAGTTTGCACACATGGGTGATAAAATTCCTAAACACACAGGAGGTAATTAATAATGGTTAATGGATAATGGTCATGTATGGTAGAGGTAGGAGTTGTGACTGGTATAGAACACATAAAAGAGGTTTCTGGAATGGTTTGCAAAGTTGATCTAGGCGGTGTTAACCTTGTAATAATTCATTAAGCTACCC